AAAAAAAAAAAAAAAAACCTAAGACAAGGCCTCACTGTGTAGCCTGGGCAGGCTCATATTCAAGATTCCCCAGGCTCAGCCTCCTGGGTAATGTCATTACAGGTATGTATCATGACATCTGGTCATCCAAAAATTTTCACAGTAATCCCCCCTGGAGCATCGCCCTAACTATCACAAGGGGCTCCATTGGGTCTCTAGTAAGGTGCTGCTATTCTGACATCATGACAGATCAGTTTATGCTGTTTTCAAACTTCACAGAAGTGTGAAATGCAGGGTCATGTGCCTGGCTTCCTTTCATCAACAGTCCATCTGTGAAATCCAACTGTTGCATGTAGCAAAAGTTAACTGTCTGTAGTTTATTTAGGTACACCTCAATTATTTTAGTGCATTTACTAAGATAAAGTTGGATTATTTTCAGTTTGGGGTTCCATTTTAAATAACTAACATTTTTACATGTGTTCTTGTTCCTATTACACAGAAAATCAGAGTCAAAATTGTATTTGGCTTTATTAGAAACTGCCACGTAGAGTCGGGTATAGTGGTGTCCACCTATAATCACAATGCTCCAGAGGCTAAAGCAACGGGCCCAATGGGAGACTGCCATAGTAATGCTCAAACCAGTAATCCTGGGGAGTTAAAAAGCCAAGGCCTGAGGTGGCACAGGCCTTTAATTCCAGCACTTAGGAGGCAGAGGCAAGAGGATCTCTCTAAGTTCCAGGGCAGTTTGGTCTGCACAGAACTCTAGGCCAGCCAAAGCTACACAGTGAGACCCTATCTCCAAAAAAGGTAGTTCTTTGCAACCACTTTTACTTCAGAGAAAACAACTAGGAATTTTGTGCCCAAAACATAGAACAAAAACAAAAAACTGGGTCACACCTCAGGGTTCCAAGTGAGACACCAACATCTTAGGGATAGTCATTTGTATTGTGGAAAGAGTAAGGCTTCTCTTAGCTCTGCAACTGGGCGCCTGAAAATCAGCTAACGAAGCTGATGAGGACTATTCCTCCAACACCAACACTGAAACCACCGGTCAAGTTTTACTAACAAATGCAGTCACGTCACAGAAAAAAAGGACTGGTAAGTGGTGCAGTACACCGAGGGCGGTCAACTGTGCGAATTGGCAGGGCATCGCTAGCTCTATTTCCACATCCCAGTCAGTCACATTATCAACCACCATGTGGCACTTGCACTCTGCCTGGCTATTAACCTCACTGGCCAAAAGGAAATGGACACAAAGAACAATGAGTGTGTGTGTGTGGTTTTTTTTTTTGGGGGGGGGAGGAGACAGGAGAAAGAGTAGAGAGAGACAGGAGAGGAGGGGAGAGAGAGAGAGGGAGGGAGGGGGAGAGAGAGAAGAGAGAGGGAGGGAGGGGGAGAGAGAGGAGAG